TGGGCACGAGATCTGAATGAACACTTCATGTAAGCATATATGTAGATAGATAATAAGCACGTGAAATGATATTTGACACAGTGATCATTAGAAAAATGCACATGAAAACCACTAGGAGATAGGACTTCACACCCACTTATAAGGCTAAAATGTGAAAGGCTGACAATAGCTAGTGGTGGCAAGGATGTGGAGCAACTGGGACCTTTTACTTAGTAGAGGCGTAAAATATTGTAGCTGCCTGGGATGTTTCTCTTAACATAAAACATATACTTACCTAATGCCCTAGCAATTTTCCTCTTAGATCTTTATCCAAGAAAAATGAATACATATCGACAAAAAAATCTGTAGCTTTATTTGTAGTAGCTACTAGCTGGAAGCACCCCAGCTTGTTGAGAACACCAGACCCCAACAGGAAACTGGATAAAGAAGTTGTGGTCGAACCGTACAATGCAATGAGGAGGGGCAAGCCACTGACAGATGCAACACTCTGAAGAATCTCCAAAAAAATTAGAAGTAAAAGGAGCCAGATGCCAAAGATGGCATGACTCTATTTATGCGAAGTTCTAGAACAGGCAAAACTGGCGGAAATCACGGCAGAGGTTATCTGAGTTGGGGTGGCCGTGGGTGTTCTGGGCAAAAGGGCAAAAAAGGAGGCTTTCCGGAGTGATGGAAATACTCTTGTCTGGATTGAGGTGGTGATCACACAGGTGGGGACAAATGTCAAAGCGCATCGAAGTGCTCCCTTCGGATCTGTCCATTTTATCACTTGTTTAAGGAAAACAGCACGGGGATTTCCTGGTCAGATTGCCAGAGGTGTGGCCTGGGAAAGACCAGATGCACCCCAGGGACAAGGACCAGAATGTTCAGGCCGGAGGCCCTAAAGGCAGACCCCGGGAACTCAGGGAAACCTTGACGGTTGATGGAACGGTGAGGCCTCGCCCATGGGCACCCCCAGGTGTCGAGGGGCATTTATTTCATGTTAGAGCCACTAGGCTGATTCACAGACCTTTCAGTCCTGGGACGAAACCACCACTCACAACAAAATCCCCCAAACCGGAATCTCCAAGCCATTAGACCAGAGTCGGCCAGAATGACGACTTGAGTGGCCAGAATGACAACTTGAGTTTTCTGATTCAGAGGCCAGAGGGTTTTCCGTGGATGTCCCCAGGAGCTTCTGTCCCCCTGCTCCTTTGGGGACTTCAGCCTCAGCAAGGCTAGAAGTAGAGCCTTCACCAGCCAGTGACTCCCTCACCAACTCCCCCTTGTTTGTTTGACACCCAAGCCCGAGGGTCCGCCTTCCTCAGATGCACCTCTGCTCGGTCCCCGTTGCCTCCCCAAAAAGGCTGTCTTGCTCCTCGCGCACCAGCACGCCACAGGAACACTGGCTGCTTATGTTTGCAAACCCCTGCAGGCTTGGCACGAGCCGCAGGCCTGGAGACGCTGGTCCCATAACACAGCTGCAGGTGGGGAACGGATGGGGAGCCAATTCACGGTCAAGGTCATTGGAAAAAATGAGAAAGCGGCCTCGAGTGTTAGGCCCCGAGGGCTACTTGAGCGGCAAACCCAGGTCAGCACAGCAAAAAAAATGCGCCAGCCCTGACTCTGCCAAGGCACCTGCTTCCTGAAGGGGCCGAAGGCCCGATGAGACATGACATCATTGGTTTTTATCACATTTCAGAGAGAGGAGACAGAAAAACAAGGCCTCGCGGAGGTTAGCTACCCGAGCTGGGGGGCGGGGTGGGGGACACAAGATTTCCAGCCGGTTGGACCAGGTCCCCAAGATTCAGGAATAAAGTTTCCTCATCACGGAGCCTGGACTGTGTGTCTTTGAGGACCAAGGGACTCCGAGTGTGTACCTTCCGCAGGATTGTCTGTAAAAGAACAGCGGTCAATTTCTTCAGAAGTCCATATAATGAAAGGTATTGTGGCAGCGCAGAAATGAGATGTTTAATTGCTAAGTAAAACAGATGAAAAGTTCCTTTACTCTTAAGAAAAATAAAGTCACCCGCTGAAATAATAATGTCATTTTCCTTTGGTGATGGTTTAATTTAAAAATGTTGGCGAATTCTCTTTCTGCCGAGGGCAGAAGTTAACTACTTTATGAATGTGCGTGTTATTTATTTTCGTGATTATGAAAGTGTTCATGAAATGCATGCAGAGTTAACCCTCCGGTAATACCATGGGCTCTAGGAGTTTAATGAAAGCTTACGCTCCCCTGGCCCACCCCAGCCTCCTGCGGTCCTAGGTGCCCTCAGCACACACACTGTGTGTTTTCCTTTGGTCGGGGTTGGGGAGGAAGCAAGCCTAACAGACGCCACCCCTAACAAAGGCAGGGTGTGCGGGAGGAGGATGTCTCAGCTCTGCGCGAATGGGTCTACCACACATCTTTTATTCCTTTAATTAAAAAAACAAATCTGCCTCCTTCTTAAAATTTGTCTTCCATTGAAAAGCCGCACCACACAGAAAAGTGAACAAATGAATCGGCACAGATAAAAGCGTTGTCACAATGGGAGCACTCACGTGTGTTATCACCATCCAGGTCAAGAAGAACGTGACCCACACGTCAGAAGCGCCCCACCCCACCCCCAACACTTCCCGCCTTTCCTCCCTAAGGTGACCGTTATCCTCATGCTTGTTACAGGTGAGTTTTGCCTTTTTGAAATTTCTAAAAATGGAGCCACTCTGTTTGGAAAAATTAGGCCTTGCTTCTTTGGGGGACTTACTCATATCATTGCATGTCATTATATTTGGTTAATTGCCATGTCTATGCAGGTTTCAACGACCATAACTTATTTATCCCTTTTGTAGTTGATGGACACGTGGCTTGTTTCCAGTGTTGGCTGCTGGAAATAACACTGCCAGAACCAGGTCTGTCTTCTGGTGCAGGTGGGCATGGCTTTCTGATGTGGACACACCTGTGGACTTAGCCCCAGCAGAGGACAAGAGCCTGTTTTTCAAAGTGGCGTCAGATGACATGCTCACTCATCACGTAGTTGCATTTTAATTGCCCGCATCCTTGCTAGTACTTGATCCTGCCAGGCATTTTTATTTTGGCCATTCCGTGTGTGTTGGGGGCGGGGACTATCTCAGCATGGTTTTAATTTGCATTTCCCCGATGACTAAAGGAGGTCGAACATCTTTTCATTTGCTTTTGGATATGGGGTATCCCTTTGGGAAATTTTTAATGCTCTGGTCTATTTTGGGATGGCATTTTTTCATGAATAGAAAATCTTGCTTGGAGTTCTTATTTTTAGAGAGAGGGGAAGGGAGGGAGAAAGAGAGGGAAAGAAACATGGATGTGAGACAGAAATATTGATTGGTTTCCTTTCACATGTACCCCAACTGGGGACCAAACCCATAACCCAGGCATGTGCCCTGACTGGGAATCAAACCGGTGACCTTGTGGTCTGCAGAGCGAGAGATGAGATCCAATCAACTGTGCCATACTGGCCAGGGCAGAAGGTCTTGCTTTAAATGCGGTCATTTCTCCTAATTTCCTTTTCTTTTGGGTCTTGGCCTTCTTTACTGCCTTTTAGCTCTCCAATGCCTTTAAACAGATTTTAAAAATAGTTTCTCCAGCTTTTCTCAATGTTTCCAGTGGAAGAACTGGGCACAAATCCTTCAGCAATCACCATTAATTCATGTAGTTCTCCCTTCCGGCATTTCACATTTCTCAGTGCACACTCAGAATGCCATTTCTTGACTTAACACCCTAGACATTTTATCTTGATTCTGTCTTGTGGTAGGAGAGCACTTATCTACTTTACACCTGTACTTTATATTCTCCTATCCTCTCAATAGAGTTATTTTATAATTCCAAACGTTCAGCCATGTTTAATTTATATTATATCAGGTCTATCTAAATATTAGTCTCTGCAGATTCAAGTAGCTGATAAGAAATGCTCAAAGTTGGTTGTGTTTGGGGTGGTGAGTAGGACGCCCTCCGAAGTTTTCAGCAGCCCAAATGACACTCTAGATTTTCCAGAACAGTTTCAATTTCAAATAGAGCAAGCCGTCAGCATTCTTAGACTGAGTGGCAGTGGTCCCTGCAATGGAGGAGTGACGTGGAAGGACCGCGCCCCGTGGAATCCATCAACTTACTGACTTGGAATCACTGTGAAGGGGAATCCAGGGCAGCTGCTTAGCAAGTAGCACCTCGGCCGATCCCCTGGTACCCACAGCTCCTCACAGCCCTGCTAGTCTCTGCTCTTGCCATACATGCAGCGACTCTTGTGAAGAGGGACTCTGAAAAGTGGCCTCAGAAAGACCCAGCTGCTGGGGGCAGGGCACAGCAGGAAGGGTCTTTCCTCAGGGAGTGTATAGTCCACAGGGGGGCGGCCAGACGGCCCCCCACTCTCACAGGAGGCATGAAGTAGAGCTCATTCTAAACAAACACCTAAAGGGCTCAGTTTGCACAGAATGGAGAGAGGACTTTGGGCAGGAGGGATCCCAGGATGTGGTGGGCTGGGCTCCAAAGAACAAGTAGGATGGATGGGCAGAGATGGGAGAACATTCTAGAAGGAAGGGTAGACTAGGGGATGTATGTGTGTGTGTGTGTGTGTGTGTGTGTGTGTGTGTTCTGTGACTATGAACAGGGCTATGGGCACTGCCATTGTTCACACATAATATCAGCACGTGCAGGGCAAGCTCAGTCTCGTGGATCGAAGGGGCCCAAAGGGGCCAGGGTGGGAATAGCCAGTATGTGTGTCGGAGGACTTTGGATGAAGGAGGGCACAGCGAGAAGAGGGGGTGACATTTGGGACGGCTGAGTCCCAGGCCAGGTGGCTCCTCACCCCGCAGCAACTATCCTGAGTCCACGCTGGACTCAGAAAAGGCGATTCGTGAAGCCACGGGTAATTTTGGTGAACCTTCCTTGCTCTAAATTTTCTCAATTTCAGAAAACCATTTCTATGTTAAAATGAATGAGAAAATACTGAAGCAGAATGCAAAATATGTGTAGGTTTCTTTTATGATCAAACAGATACAACCTCAAAGAAATTCTGACTCTGTCCTGGAGGCCCCTGAGTGTTTGCACCCTCCTGTGGCCACTGGGGCAGCGGAAGACAAGGCCTGCGAAGATCTGGCATCCTCCACCCATTCAATCTGCACGGCAACTCGATGAGGTAGATACGGCCGGGCCTACAGGTGAACAAACTGAGGCCCATCAGGGTGTGCCTCATGCTCAAGGTCATCAAGCAAGTCAGTGGCAGCATCAGAACGCAAACCAGGGTCTGGGTCCCAGGGCTCAGTCCTTCTGCAAGAGGCTGAGTGGCTGATAAATGATAAAAAAAAAAAATAGAAAAGAAAGAAAACTGAGGTAGGTTGGTGCTGAATCATGGAAGGTCTTCAATGCGAGGCTGAATGAAAGGTCACCTTCCAAAAAGACGGTTCATGGCCCCACTCGGGCTCCGTGTGGAAGAGCCAAAGGTAAGAACAGGAAGAGATCTAGTTATTCTCATCCCGGCTTCCTTGGTGCCTCCTCTTATCCCTGAGACTGAGCATGACCTTGACCCAGCAAGGACGTTTTTCCCATGGCGGAAGTAGGAAATGTGCCTTTTTTTCTTTTCTACCTAGTGTTGTCCTGCGGGGCACAGAGGGCTCGGAGTCACTGGCCAGCGCCTTCCGGAGCTGGATGCTGGAGAAAGGGTGCCTGTCCTCTGTGGGAAAGGACACCTCCCCAAGACTGGGAAATATTTTATAGTTGATGCACTGGGAAAGAACGGTATTATTGAGTCTGAAGGAAAATCCATGGAGTGTTGCTATGCAAATCAAGAGCTTTATGGGGTTTTTTTTTCATAGTAGAAAAAAAGAAACTTCAAAAAGGAACCCCCCCATATGCAAATACAAGGTGAAGAGTTATTTGTGGCTTGAGATAAGTGGAAAATGACTCCGTTGACTGGGGGTTAGTTGGTCACTACAGCTTGCAATGGAATGTTACTGTCTTTCTTCTTTTCCTTTCCTTTTTTTTTTAGTATGTGCCGAGAGAGTTTATTAAGAAACCAGCCAACGTCCTGGAGATCCTCAGGCCACCGCAGGTACTGCTGTGTCCGTACAAACCCTCTGATGGACTCATGTTTCATCAGCTGGTACTGAGACAAGGATCCGACCACCACCATGATGAGGGCACTGTCCAGGGCAGCGAGGCCCCTGCTCTGGGCGTAGCTAAAGGCTTCCAGGCACCAGCCATCTCTGAGGAAGTGTCTGCTCACAAGGCAGACAGTCTTCCTGCTGCTCCACACGGCGTGATGGATGTTGGCAACGTGGTTTTCCCCTGGGGTAAAGTCTCTCTCTTCAAAGCACAGGTGCAGTCTGTTTTGGTCGCTGTACTGAGTGTCCAGGTGCTTTAGCAAAGCGTTCTGCACCCACTCGAAGTCTTTGCTGCTGAAGCACAAGTAGGCATCGTATTTGTACGTGTCGGATTCTCTTGTGTTGCCTGGGCTCCTGAACACCCATCTCTGGGCTGTCTTGTAACAGGAGAAACAAGCCCCCCGGAACTTTGTGACCGTGACGACGGTCACCAGGAACAGCGTCAATATGACAGTGAATAAAATGAAAAGGGAGAACTTCAGAAACCGTAAGCTTTCCTCTTCATCACAGCCCTCGGTGGACAGAGAGTAGAGGGAAGTCCCAGCCAGCGAGTCGGGGTACGTGCAGTATACGTCTGCGTGAGACCCGAATATGGTGACATTGGTGTGGTTGAGCCACTTAACGAAGGTGCTAAGTTCACACTCACAGATGAACTTGTTGTGACTTAGGTCCACAACACTGAGTGACGCAAATACAGCAGGATCAGGAGTGAGGAGCTGGTTCTGGGACACGTCCAGCCTCTCTAAACTAGGGGGTAGGTCGTCAGGAGAAAGCACAGTCAGCCTGTTGAAGCTGAGGCTGAGTCCCCTTAATGCAACCAGAGAGCGAAATACTCCTGGTGGAAGGAAACTCAGGTAGTTTTGATTCAAGTACAGGACCCGGAGACGGGAAAGCCCCTTGAAAACATCCCAACAGGACCCCGTCTCCCAGGCGAGTTGCAACATGTTTTCTCCCAGGAGAAGCTGTTCTAAGCTGAGACTCTCTGAAGGGGCACGAGTTTGGGTACAAAAGGAAAAACGGTTTTGATTTACAATGAGAGTCTGGAGGTGAGGGACCTGGAGAAGGATGTAGAGATTATCCAGGTTCTCCAGCCTGTTCTCTGATAATTGGATGTAGTTGGCTGTGAATCTGATATCTTGGAAAGTTGCCAGTTTATTGCCACCCAAGAAGATAGTAGATATGTTTGGGATAAAGTCAGTCATTTTCAGAGCATTGTCCCGGAGGTCCAAGGTCTGTAATCTTTTCAGGGCTGTGAATGTATCTCCTTGAATGATCCCAATGTGATTCTTTTGCAGGTCAATGTAGATGATGCTAGGTAGTCCATGGAAGTTAGAATTGTACAGTTCCCCCAGAAGGTTATAAGACATATTGAGAACTTGGAGGCTGTTGAGCCCATAAAATGCCTCATCTGCAATGTTGTTTATTTTGTTGTGGGCAACGTTCAGAAGCTTCAACTCCGTGAGGGTCTCAAAGAGTCGGGAGTTCAAGGAGAAGATAAATCCTTGTGAAAGGTCCAGGCTTCTCACTGAGCTTCTGGCCAGGCCGGTGAATGTGCTCCGGTCGGGGTCTCTGATGTTATGGAAGCCAAAGCCGGACCCCATAATGTGGTAGGCAAGCACCAGGTTGGAGACCTGGCTGCCACGGATGGCATTGCTGAAGTTGCTGGTGATGTCTACAGTCCAGCCATTGCCCGAGACATCTAGGGTGTCTAGGACCATGTTTCTGAATGGGTTCATGCACTTCGCCCAGTCCACTGAGACCCTGATGTACAGCTGAGTAGAAGCGAGATTCAAAGAGGAGAGTGTTTTCCCGTGGAGGGGCTGGAGGTCATGCTCACACACTGTGGGCACTTCATTGAGGGAAAAGTCAATGGACTTCAAGGAATTCAGTTCCCGGAATGAAGAATGGAGGGAAAGGCTGTGAATCTGATTCTTGGACAGGTCCAGGCGAGACAGAGACTCTAAATTTCTGAAATAACCATCTTTTAACACAGCATCAGACAGATTGCAGTGAAAGAGCCTGAGTTCAAACAAATGAGGCAGTCCCTGGAAAGCCTCTGGGTGCAAGAAGTCTAGCTGACTGTAGCCCAAGTCCAAGATCCTAAGGTTGGGCAGGTTTCTGAAGGCTTCTTTGTGAATCGTGAAGGAGGTCCACTGAGTCCCAAGCTCCAGCAGGCGTAGCTGCTCCAGGAAGGGGAAGGAGGAGGCTGTGACGGTTTTGATATAGTTGAAGCTTAGCAGGAGGTTCTCAGTGGTGTTGGGGACCTGGGGCACCTGGGTGAGGTTGCAGGAACGATATAAGGCAATGCGACCATCAGAGGAGCAGGAAGAAATTCCAAGCACCGGACTGGCCATGAGCATCACTACTAAGACAAGGTCAAGGTGATCTCCCATGATCCTATAGAGAGAAAGGGAGAATGCAAACACAGCTACCTCCAAGCTTGAGGTGTGACACATGGACCCTTAGAACCTGGGGGACCCTTTGAGCTTTAATGTGATGTGCCTGCTGTCTCAGACCCTTTGGTCCTCCGGCTCCGTGGACACGGCTGTGGGCAAACGCTGTCTGGTGTACACAGAACAGCACTCCTCACTGTCTTTCTATCTGTTGTATTGCATTTGCTGCATGTCAGGATGGTTCTTAACTGGTTTGAGGGTCATGCACCTGTTCAAGAATCTGACAATAGCTCTGATTCCTTGCCTTTCAAAAATGCACTCTTGCATCGCAAAACCAAGTTTTATTCCCAATGTTGGGGGGCACGGGGGCCCCCTGAAGCCTGCCCCTTTCAATCTCCATTGAGAACCCCTAGTTTCTAGGTAGCACCCACCACATTTTATGTCCTACGTTGGAGCTTGGAAAGCTTTTTCTGTAAGGGGCCAGATGATAAATATTTCAGGCTTTGCCATCCAAATGCCACAGTTTGCTGACCTCTGTTCTGGGAGACAAGAGAATGGCAACTTTGATATCACAGATGAAGATTTTAAGTGACTGTCAGGTAAACGCATCCTGACCCTGAACTACCAGTCTTTGGGGAAAGAACTACCTCGGCCCCCAGATCGCTGCCAGTTTTGCAGCTGCTGTTTTATCTGAGCATCCGAACGGCTTCTCCTCTCATGTAAACCAGACGGAAAGATCCCTGCAGAGGTGTGGGAGGGAGAACACCAGCTCAGAGCAACAGGACAATTTTCTAGTTTCGCTCCTGCCTAGTGGCACAGATGACTCACTGCTGGCCTCTGAATGCAGACGCTCACCTACATGGTGTGACCTTGAATTTGTGGTAACAAGTGACGAAAGCCCCAAACCCTACGCATCCCAATACACTGAATCTTCACGTCCATACCAGGGAAGCTCAAATGAAACAGTCAGGTAGATAAGGCCAGCTGAACGAATAGATTTTAAAGACAATTACTTGGGTTTCTGCTGTATTGCAATGACCCCATTCAGAGCTATTTTCTTAAGAAATACAGAGAGACATGATAGAACTACATGTTCATCTCTGAGGCAGACCTGCATGGGCCAATGGCCAGGGCAGGTGAGCAGAGGAGCCAGGTGAGCTGTCAGCTGACAGGAGTCTGGAGGGGCTACTCATGAAGACAGCTGGGCAGAGGGACCACCAGACAGGGGTGTCCTGGATGGCACGGGGCCCAGAGGCCAAAGCAGGGTGAAGTTAAATATAAATGAGCAGGGACATAGGGGAAAGCTCGCCTACAGATGGCAACCAGATGGTGCAGTTGTTTCAGACCCGATGGAGCCTCGGAAGGAGGAGCGTTCAAAAGTGGGGTCCATCGGGGCAGCAAGAGAGAACAGGTGGGCCGCAGGTGTGAACCTAGGAGAGAGGTGTGAACCCAGAAGAGAAGACCAAACGACCTAAAGCCCTACATGGGTTGAAGCCATAAGGATCAGGAGGAGTGAGAGTGTAAGGAGTGAGGCTCACTGGGCCACTGCTTCTCCCAAAGTTCAGATCACCCAGAGCCACATTGGACCCCATCAGAGGAGTGCGCCCTCTAGTGGTGTCTGGAGGAAGAAAGGGGAGTCAGTGTGCTCCTGAAGCATTATTAACAAGAGGACGAGAAGCATCCAGTACAATCACAGATGCTGCTAGTTCTGCTGTCAGGTGCCATAAGGATGCCTTCCTATATAGAGCACTGTGTAAAACTACAAGAAGCCCACAGGGTGCCTGGGGGAAAAGGGGAGGCAGAACAAACCCCCAAAACTTCACCAGTGACCCACCAAAAAAAACCCATGGCAGCCCCATTTCATACATGTTGCATGGTTAAGAAGTACATGAACACTGCAAAAAATATCCCTGTACCTTGAAAGAACCTGAGGGCTGCCTGTGGAAGTGGGGGTCCGAGGGCCCCTCCTGGGGAGAAGGGGGTGATTTGGTATCAGACAGAAAGATGTATTGAATGCTACAAAACTGTACACTGAAAATGGTTAAAATGGTGAATTTTATGTTATGTATAATTTACCACAATCAAAAAAAATGAAAAACCCTGACACTACTGAAACCTAAGTCCGAGTCCTGGAATTTGGGTCCTGTGGGTCTGGTGAGCCTGGGAAGTTCATTTCATAGCCAAACCCCACGTACTTTGAAGAACGTGGTTCTCAGGCCACGGCGTGAGGAACCCTGGTCTAAAGGAGCCCCCTCAGAAACCCCTGACTCTCTTCAAAGAAGGGCTGGCAAGAAACACACATTGTGGTTCAATGCTGGGACTTTATCGCAAAGGCTGGGCCAACATGTATCCGGGGCTTTGAGGGGTGACGGGAACAGCACGTCAATGCCACCTCAACACTCCTGCCAAGCGCCGTTAATTAAGATAATGAGACCAGAGGGAGAAGGCAGCCTCTCTTTCATCCGAGTCAGATCCCTTTAGCTTGAGTCCCAGACATTAGTGGAGCGGGTCCCCTTTCCTGACTTAATTGCCTGGACAGCACCGCCGTCGCCACTCGCCTGAGCTTGGGTGAGTTCAAGGCCCTCCCCATGGACGATAATTGCTGGAATGGTCAGTCCGAGAGGGCTCCTAGCACTTGACCCCTCTCTCTCTGAACAGAGGGCGAAAGCCAGGCCAGCCTACCTTCCTGGCTGTGTGCACAGTCTGGCCCTGTGTCCCAGGAATGGCTTGTTTCTCAGAACTTGGCCTCTATCCGATTCCCCAGGCCAACGCCTGGGCTTCAGCGCGTCTGTCTCACGTGCTCATCCAGTTCCCACTGCCCCTTCCCAAGGGCCGGCTTTCCCATGAAGCAGTTCTCCTAGTCCCACTGGCAGGCCTCCTCTCCCTCCATGACCTCCTGTTTGCAGCCCCCCAGGCCATTTTCACATATTATGCCTCCTGCCCCGCCCCCAGACTGTCCATTTCTGGAGAACAAGGAGCCTGACATACACAGCACAACTTAAGTGCCCTAGTAATACATTTCCTTTTCATAGTCTTTGGAACGTTACTTATTTTATCATTTATTTTTGTAGTTGACATGCAATGGCATATTACTTGCAGGTGTACAACGTCATGATTCAACTTACATACTGACGACGTGATCGGCACAGGAAGCCCAGTGGTCACCTGCCACTGTACAGAGTTATTAGGAGATTATCGACGATTTCCCTGTGCTGCACTTTGCATCCCCACAACGTATTTTGTGACTGGAGGTTTGTCCGTCTCTCCCCATGAACAGCATGAGAAGATTTCATCAGGAGTACTTACCTCCCAGTCCTAACACAAGGTGCTTCTCACGTGTTCTTCTGGAGCCGGGGGTGAAGGCACGTCCCCTGGTTATTTAAGGACGTCAGCTGCTAGACTACGGGAGCTTCATCGTGGAGACAATGGTGGTCAGTGTTTTCCAGTAAATTATGAGAAAGGGCTTTTGTTTTCCTGGGGAAGAACAGGAAATCCAAGTGAGAGGGAGAAACAGCCCTGGCTGGTGTTGCTCAGTGGATTGAGCACCAGCCTGAGAACGAAAGGGTCTCCGATTCGATTCTCGGTCAGGGCACATGCCTGGGTTGCGGGCCAGGTCCCCAGGTGGGAGCATATGAGAGGCAACCAATTGATGTTTCTCTCCCTCTGCTTCCCCCTCCCTTCCCTTCTCTCTAGAAATAAATAAATAAATAAAATATTTATTTATTTTACAGAAACAGAAAACATTATGCAGGTGTTTTTCTGTGCCATGCAGCCATTTGCTTTGTGCAAGAATTTAAAACCTTAGGTGTGTCTCCTATTGAGTGCAATATCATGGGCAAAGATCAAGGTCATTTCGTCAGTCAAGGCCTGTGGCACCTCAGAGCTGAAGGGATCCGGAGAAACCCCAGGCCTAGCCTCTGCTTCACAAGGTGGGTGTATAAGCCAGTTGGTCAGACACGCAGCCTCCTTCTCTACAGCTGCAGGAAGGGAAATGCTGACGTTGCACGGCGCCATCCCTTGTTGTTAAATCCCTGGGGTGGTGAGGAAGTGCCTTCTGTGGACCTAGGAGTCCCTTTCGTGTCATTTCTGTGGTTGTTTGGTTTCCGGGGACTCAAGCCCCAGGGCGAGAACAGTGCACTGTCTACAGTGAGCAGAGAACTTGCAGATTCCTAGGGAAAAGCAGCTAAGATCTCCCTCAGAGTGTGGCATTTCTAAGCAGTGTGGCTAGGTGAATTAGGAGACATTACTAGGTCACAGATTTAGAATAAGGATCCTGAAAGTTGAATTGACATATAGTGCTTTCCTTCCTCCCTTCCTTCCTTCCTCTTCTTTTTAATCCTCACCCAAAGATATGTTTATCGGTTTGACAGAGAGAAACATCGATGTGAGACAGAAACATTAATCAGCTGCCCCCTCTACATGCCCTGACCAGGATTCGAACCCACAACCTAGGTATGTGCCCTGACTGGGATTCAAACCCACAACCTTTTGATGCCCAGGATAATGCGCCAACCAACTGAGCCACCCAGTCAAGGTACAATTTTGATTTATCTGAAGGCTTAAAATGACAACTAAGTTTGTAGCTGGCTTCAAATCCCAGCTCTATAGTTTAATAAACACATGACCTTGAACAAGCACTTAACCTCTTGGAACATCAGTTTAATCGCCCATACAACAGCCACAGTAACAGTTTTTACTTCCTCCCAGGAAGCCTCAACATGGGCATCTGAGGACACTTGAGAGCCCAAACCAGAGAACAAGTTACTGGTGCACGAGCCTCTGTTTTTTTTTTTCACTTGCTTAAGTAGACACACATCATTTACTCAACTGCATCTTACCAGAAATGTCTTCCTTCTAGAAACCACTGAAGGGTAGAGTTGAGAGAAGGAAATGGAATTTCTCAATACATGGAGGCGAGCTGGCATCTCTCTTGTCTGTAAAAGCTCCCCTATTGTCTTTCTGTCTTCAGGTGGTTGTCCTCCAGAACTACAAAACAACAAAAACGGTAGCCATAAGCAATGCCATTCTAAAGACAGGAGGTTGAAACCCCAAATGGTTAGCGTGCCGTTTTAAAGCGTCTGATGCAGAGAGAAAATTCCATGCGAGCCATTATTTAAAAGACAAACAGCTAGCAGGACATATTTAAACCCTTTGGGGGAAGCGCTCCGCAAGGAACGGCACATCTTCACCCAGCTTCAAGTTCAGGCAGCGCCGATAGTCTCAATTAGAGAATTAACAGCTCAGGCTGCTGGCGTCCCGCATGCGACTCAGCTCATGCCTGCGTATGGATGGGCAAAGGGAGTCGCCAGGAAGAGGGGCAACTGCAAGGTCGGGAAGCAGAGCAGAGGAGAGCCTGGAGTCCGATATTGCGGTCCCTGAAGTAATGACTCAGACTCAGTTGTGAAAGCAGGAGACATCGTCTGGACTGTGATGCTGATGGAGCAGCTGGGCGGGGGGGGGGGGGGGGGGAGGGGGGGGGGGGACCCAGGTGGAAAAATCTTATTAAACTGTTGGACCTGACAACACAGGCCATGGAGATGGGTGAAGAGGTTATAAAGCCCTGAGAGCTGTCCTGGGCGGGATCTGGAGCCTGTGCAGGGCTAAAACCAAGTTTGCTCTGTAGCCAAGGGGGACACCCCCTGGCACAGGTGAAAGAGGGGGAGAGAGGAGTCCGGCCAGCAGGCGTGGGTCCCAGGTCTCCAGGCCCACTAGGTACAGAAGAGGAAAGACATTCCATTGCCTGGGTGAGCAGGGTGTGCCGGGTGGGTGGGCTGGGCTGGGCACCACACCCCTACTGGAAACACTGTTCGGCCCTGTGTGCAGTGCTCTGGGCCGAGGGGACGCTCCTGGAATCTGCCCTGGGCCAGCTGCCGGAGTGGCTGAGCTCCTTTCTGCGTGTGAGTGGGGTCAGCCAGAGACTCGGCTCCACCTCCCTTGGGCGGGAGCACCAAGACGACTGAGGCCCTTGCGAAAGCCCTGGGCTGGGGGAGGGGACCCTGGGGTCCCAGCCCTCCTCCGCCACCATCTGGGTGCCGGGTCCAGTTTGGTTCCCGTGTCCTGTGTCTGTGCGTGTGTGATGGCAAGCGTGAGCTGGCAGCACTTCCCTACCCCCACCGTCAGCTCCACAATGACCTGACGAGATGGGCCGAGCGGCGTGACTGCAGTCACGAACCGGGGCGGAGTCCTCCTAAGGGTGGAAGGTGCACCCTCCCTTTTGGTAAAGGTGTGAGCCTGTTCTAGGGGGGTCTTGAAAATATCTAGTGGAAGATAATGCTATTAACATTAATAATGTTAGAAATAAAATGGACCCGAGCAGATCCTGGCCTTAAGCAGCAAGTCCTCCCAAGAATTTACTCTCATAGGAGGTTGTTTCAGAGGCGGGACAATATTCTGAGAGTAGAACACTCCCCCGCCTCACCTTGCCCCGCTCCCCCCGCCACGGCTCCCGCAGCCTCCCCATGTTACTGTCCCAGGCCAGGCTAGTGGCAGGACCAGACCCAGAAGTAGCTTTGATTTTCCAAACATGGCCTCAGGTCAAGGACCCAGAGGCTTTTCCAGGAACAGAGAGGAAGGGGGCTTGGAGGGGAAAAGCAGTGAGGCTTGGAAGGAATAGGAGGGGTGGCAGGTCTGTGGGTCCCAGGAGGGCAGGACTCTGGTGTGACCCCAGAGTGGGGCTCGTGGTCTGAAAGCAGCAGGGACCTGGGGGCAGGGACATGAACATGCTCACTGGTGACCGGCGTGGGCCAGGCAGGGGGGCGGGATCACCCCCACCTCCGCCCCGAGGTTTTGACGATGCACAACAGCTGTAAGTGATGCCGCCACGGGGGGGGGGGGGTTCTGTTCTTGCCAGTCTGATGGGACAGGTATCTAGAAAAGCAACAGAGGCACTGCCCCAGGCACACCTGAACACGCTAGAGATTCACGCCCTCTATCCTTTGATTTTGCATGCTGGGCAGGAAAATAAATTAGCCTTGAAACAGCAGATGCCTCTTGACTTACGACGGGGTATATTTCAATAAACCCATCATAAGTAAAAATGCATTTAATACACCCAGCCTACCAAACATCACAGCTTAGCCTGGCCCACCTTAAATGTGCTCAGAGCACTTCCGGTAGCCTGCAGTTGGGCAAAATCACCAAACACAAAGCCTGGTTTATAATGAAGTGTTGCATATCTCATGATATCATTTATTGACTGCTATATGGTGCATATAACAAAAGGATTATCTGCACCATTGTAAAGTCGAAAAATCACAAGTCAGGGACCATGTGCATTTAGAACCAGTTGCATCTCTGACCATGATGCAGAGGAAGCTCAGGTTGCAGAAACTCAGGGCTGAAGGTGGCTTTAGTTCCTGCCTTTATCACGTCTGTCTGAGTTCAAGTGCTGGCTCAGTTTCCCCACCTATGACACAGAAGTGTTCTAAGGATTAAATGTGACGAGACACGCAGCCCCTGTTTTGGGGTCCCTAGCAATGCTTTGCACACAGCAGACTAACTGTTGACTATTAAATTACGTATTACCTGTGAAAGCCAGTCTAACCCACAGTGAAACTGGGTGCCGACAGATCACTGGTTCGGTGACCTTGGACAAGTCACGCTGTCGGCAGTGCCAGGACTACGAATCTTGGAGCAGCATCAGGAACGCAAACAGCAAGCTACCTGAAAGCATAAACTTGCTCTTTGCCACCTGAAAAATGGCAGTAATAACAGTACCCCCTCAGAGGCACTCAGACCAGTGTGCGGCTCAGAGCAAATGCCATTTAAGTGCTTGCTCTTAGGCACGGTGGTACTAGTCTGTGCACAGCAAAGGAGGAAACGTCTGGCCAGCACTGTCACGAAGGAAAGTCAAGTCTGGGGGTGCGGGCGGCAAGTTTACCCCAGACAGGAGAGGGGAGCCACCATCATTTCAGCATTGCAATATCCTGTCCTTGGATTTAGCGATTTCCTGACTCTGAAGAACACCCAAAATGGAAGTTCTCTGGGACAGTTGTGGGGGAGGGGAGGGAGGAAGGTCTATGCAAAATACAGTCCATGTGGAGAGGGGCACTGATCTGAATTCCTCAGCACAGACGGCCCCTTCTCTCCTCCATTCCACTGTGGGCAGACCTCTCGTGACACGACCACTCCTTCCCTCTCGCTGAGAGTTGATCTTTCCTTCCTTTCATGGCCAAATTCCTCTGACGTGAGGTTGAAAGACTCCGTCCAACGTTCCCACTGCCCATTAACTAGCCTCTTTCTGACCCCAAGAGATCTGGCTTTCCCAGGGGACTACCCTCCCAAAGGTCGCCTCCTTCTGGTGTGCTCTTGTCTGAACGTCTCCATTCTCTTTTAGCACAGACAGTGTTGGCCACTTGTTTCTTGAAATACCTCTTTCTCCCCCTCCCCCCGCCTCACACCCCAGTGTCTCTGATTTTCTTTCCATCTTTCTGTCGTTCTGTTTTGCACCAGCTCCTTTTCTTCTCCCGCCCCACCCCGCAGCTTGTCTCTTCTGCTCACGCCCTTGATCTTGGCTTAGACTTCTTCCCTCAGTGGGCTCATTTGGTTCCACAAGTTGGACCCTCCCCACTATGCTCCCCCAATCTCCCTCTAGCCTTGACCTCACTGGCACTCCAAGTATGTGGCTATTTTGGCTGACTAAAGGGCCCTTTTATAACTTCAGATTCAATATGGCCCAAAATGATTTAATAATGCTTTGAATTTTGGAAATCACATAGAAACAGAAACATTTTTGCACGGCAGTCAGAAGCGGCCCTCTCCCTTGGCCGGGGACCCAATTCATGTGTGACGCCACCCCCACCTGCCTTGCAGGTCACCTAGACCCACCTTCCCCTCCTCTTTCGTCCCATAACTCATCACCAAATCCTAGCTTTCTCCCTTCCAAATGTCGCTCTAGAGCTGTTCTTCCTTTTACATTTTATTTTCATCACCAGGGTTCAATCTTCCATCAGAGATGTGTTCACTGGGCACTCTCTCTCAACAAAGATGTTATCCACCCTCATTTCTCCAGGAAACGCCCCATCGCTGCCTTTGGGGTGCTGAGTCATGAGCAGGGAGGCAGCTGAAAGGGGACATGAGGCCATTAGAGGTGGTGCACCCATGTGCGTGGGCAGAGGACGCCCACCTGGGCTGAGAGACTGCCACACTCGGGGAGAGAGACACGGAGTCCTAAGGACCAAGAATAAGCTGGAGGCAGCCCTGGGCATCGCTGGTGGTCCAGTGACAGGAGGGAGCCGAGGCTCAGCAAGTGTGAGTTCAAGGTGGGAGCCGTGGAAGCTGAGGCTAAGGAAGATACCCTGGGGTCCCACCAAGAAGGATCCTGCATCCCATTCTGAGGGCAGTGGGCTGTTAAGGTTTCTCGTACCATCACTGCACTGAACTCCTTAAGGCCCGGGGATTTAGCTCTACCAGATGAGTCTAATCTTGAATTCCCAATAATTGTGCTTAACCCACGCCTTCTGTTCCCAGGAGGTGAAGTGCTTCAATGCGCCCTATGTATGGCTCAATTTCAGTCCGGCAACATTTCCCAAAGGCCTGCTCTGTGCCAGCCACCAGCTTGGGCTCAGAGGATTGCAAGCTGAGTGAGACACAGCCCTGCCTCAGATTCCAACCAGCAATGCAGGGTGTAAGAGTGTCCATAGAGGTTCATGCAGGAGCAGTGCAGCTGAAGGAGGGGCTCCCCAACTCTGCTGGAAGACTGTGGGGGCCAGTGCAGTGGGTGCAGGGATGTCTTCAATGGAGAAGGTACATCTTTAAAAAAACAGAGGGTTCCCCAACAGCAAAGAGAGAAGCAGCATGCAAAAAAAGACCTGGTCAGAACCTGACAGAAGGCCACTGTGGCAGGGGACAGAAGAGAGTGACAAGAAGCAGAGCTGGAAAGGGAGGCAGGGACACAGGGCTGTCTGCGGGGGCAGAGAGTTCTTGCTCTGAGCTTCATCTTAGACTCAGGCTTCCTTCCCGCTGCCTGGCCCTGTGGTCTCTAAATGCTACTTGAGACCGCGTAGCTCCAGAAGCCCTCGCTGCCTTGCCCAGCCCTCACCTGCCATCTCCTCTGAACAGAGAGAATGCCGTGTGACCTCACGCTTTACTGGCGCTCTCACTGTTGCCCAGGCACCGGCTTTGTCTTCTCCCTGAACCTGGAGGTTTCTATGCTCCCAGCTGAGTTGGTGCCATACAGCTGAGCATACTTGGCTCCCGTGGGGAGTTGGGGGCACTGCAAAGCCAGCACTGGGGATCCCTGAAGCTCGGGGCCTGACTGAGGATTTGGATCCGCCGCCTGTATTCTTCCCCACAGAGGTAAGAGTGAAACCGACGCAGCTGGATTCGGCACGTGTGTATCTCAGTGTTTTCTCGCCATCTGAGTCTGGTAGCATACAGAGACAAACACACAGGCCTGCTCTGATTTCGACACTCTGCAAAGCCAACTTCCCTGTGTGGGGGAGCCAACCCCCTCAGAAGTCTTCTGTCCTCAGAAAAAAACCCAGAAACCTAGAAGGGTTGGCTTTGCATTCAGACAAGGGAATCAAAAAGCTTCCTGCTTTGCTCAGGGCTCTAACGCCCAAGGGGAAGATGGGACATGCTTAGGATGGAAGTACCAGTCTGGCCACCATGCACAAGTGTGGGCATTCTGATTGTTAAAATATGACTGGTTATTACTTTGGCCTGCCCCCCCCCCAATCCCACCAGTGAGGGTTTAGCATGGAGGGCGAGACCTTCTCCCAGGTTCAGCCCCAGGGTTCCCCGGCATCGTGGAGGTCACTGGCCACTGGCTTCTGTGTACAAGAACAACGGTGACGCAGGCTAGGGAGTCCAGGGGCGCTTAGACAGACTAGTAAGAGCCCGGACTGGCCCAGTAAATGCAGAGAAAAGCGACCAGACCAGGGTTCTGTCTAGGCCCACCCAGTCTAGCGTCAGCTCACAACACTAATGCCCTCTCCCAGGCCGGGATGGGAGGGTGACACCCAGATGCACTTAATGTCCACAGAGGCACCGTATTGACTGGGTTCTTGCTCAGCAGCGGTATCTCCCTGAAGGACACCCGGCATGAACCAGTTGTGGGTGTGTTGCTGCGGGGGGATGGGTGTGTTCCAGCATCAGGTGACTGCGAGCTAACCCGCGGCTAGGATTAAGTCCCACCCTCAGCTGTCAATCATCACGGGCTCAGCAGCCTTGCTGGGACAGCGCTCTTCACCCCCAACACAACACGCCAAACCCCCCCTCACCCTTGGGAAATGTCACCCCAACTGCGGTTTTCCCGGGACGTGGCTCGCATGTAGAAACATAAAGGCCCACCCTGTTTACCTCGGCGCCTCTGCCCCGGTGCTAGGGGTGGGGGGCTCAAGGCTTTTTGTTGACCAGCTCAGGTGCTGTCTGGGACTTCCAGGGCTCTGCTGGAGGTAGCTGTCTCGTTCTTCCAAGGAAGACAGTGAAGCCACCTGCCCCTTCGTGGGCGAAGATAAAGTGAAAACAAAGTCCAGTAAAAGACTGTTCAAAGGTGAGAAAACAAAGGATTTCTGCACAGCTGCCTTCTCCTGTGTCCCACCTACCTGGCACAAGGTATCCACATTCTGTCCCCAGCCCTCTCCCCATCGCTGCCCAGGGCCCCCCTGTGGGGGGGTGGGCGGCGCAGACAGCAAGGTACGGGAATGGGACTCCCGCCCCGCAAAGAGCCCAGGACTTCCGGGAGGGAAAGCCGTCAGACCACTAACTCCAGCCTCGCCCAGCCTCCTGCTGGGGCGTGGGCCCTCGCCCGTGTGCCCGTGTTCGCTGCAAGGCGCTCACCTCCGGAGGGCAGACTGCGCTTCCACCTGCTCCTGCTAGTCGCCAACAGGAGAGGCTACAGCTGCTGAACCAGACGCCTCAGGCCCCGCCCACCGGGGCCGGCCCCGCCCACCCGGCCGGTTCCCGGCCCCCAAGTAACCTCTGAGTGGACTGGGGCAAATCTCTGCCCATCGCTGGGCGCCTCGGACTTGCCGGTGCCTAGGAGGCACTGCGGCTGCGGGGACCAGGCAAAGTGTCTGTTTGCCAAGGAAGAATACAGGAGCGGGTGGGTTTAGGCGGCAGGGGGCTGGGACGTGCGTGCTGGGCGTGCTGCTAGGTATCCTGGATCAGAGAGGAACTGGCCAGGGGAGGGGAACAGAGCTGCAGCCTCTGTAGTTACCCGAGATGTCCATCGAGGTCCTCTAGACCGGCATCGCCCCTGCCTTTCCTCTCCCATCAGACGGAGGCGGAGGCCCGGGCCTCAGGACCTGGAGTAACTGCCCAGAGGCACAGCCACAAACAAGCTGGCACCCCAGAGACTCAACTCCCCATGCCCAGAGCAGGGCTCCTTCACCCGCACCAAACCTCAAGCCACATTTGGAAGATCTTTTTTTTATTAAAGATTTTATTTATTTATCTTTAGAGGGGAAGGGAAGGAGAGAGGGAGAGAAATATCAATGTATGGTTGCCTCTTGTGCATCCCCTGCTGGGAACTGGCCTGCAACCCAGGCATGTGCCCTGACTGGGAATCGAACTGCGGTTGTTTAGTTCGAAGGCCTGCACTCAATCCACTGAGCTACACCAGCCAGGGCTGGAAGATCTTTTCTTAAAAATATATTTTATTGATTATGCTATTACGGTTGTCCTATTTCCCCTTCTTTATTCCCCTCTGCCCTGCACACCCCCACCCACCCCCATTCCCCCATTTTAGTTCATGTCCATGGGTCATACATATAAGTTCTTTAGCTTCTACATTTCCTGTACTATTCTTAACCCCCCTGTGTATTTTCTGCCTACTATTTATGCTACTTATTCTCTGTACCTTTTCCCCCTTTCTCTCCCTCCCACTCCCCCACTGATAACCCTCCATGGAATGTCCATTTCTGTGATTCTGTTCCTGTTCTAGTTGTTTGCTTAGTTTGTTTTAGGTTCAGTTGTTAATAACTGAGTTTGTTGTCATTTTACTGTTCATACTTTTTATCTTCTTTTTCTTGGATAAGTCCCTTTAACATTTCCTATAATAAGGACTTGGTGATGATGAACTCCTTTAACTTGACTTTATCTGAGAAGCACTTTATCTTTCCTTCTATTCTAAATGATAATTTTGCTGCATAGAGCAATCTTGGATATAAGTCCTTGCCTTTCATGACTTTGAATACTTCTTTCCAGCCCCTTCTTGCCTGCAAGGTTTCTTTGGAGAAATCATCTGAGAGTCCTATGGGAACTCCTTTGTAAGTAACTGTCTCTTTTCTCTTGCTGCTTTTAGGATTCTCTCATTATCTTTAACCTTGGGTAACATATGGTGATGTGCCTTAGTGTATGCTTCCTTGGGTCCAACTTCTTTGGGGCTCTCTGAGCTTCCTGGACTTCTTAGAAGTCTATTTCTTTTGTCAGATTGGGGAGCATCTCCTTCATTATTTGTTCAAACAAGTTTTCAATTTCTTGCTCTTCCTCTTCTCCTTCTGGCACCCCTATGATTCAGATGTTGGAACATTTAAAGTTGTCCTCTCCTCATTTCTTTTTTTGAATTCTTATTTCTTCATTCTGTTCTGCTTGAATGTTTCTTTTTTCTTCTACTCCAAACTGTTGATTTGAGTCCTGGTTTCTTTCCTGTCACTGTTGATTCCCTGTATATTTTGCTCTATTTCACTTTGGGTAGCCTTCATTTGTTCCTTCATTTTGCAACCGAGCTCAATCAATTCTGTGAGCATCCTGATCACTGGTGCTTTGAACTGTGCATCCGATAGGTTGGCTATTTCTTCATTGCTTAGTTGTATTTTTTCTGAAGCTTTGATCTGTTCTTTCATTTGGGCCTTTATTTCTCTCTCGGCGGACGTGTTACGTAGTAAGGGGTGGAGCCTTAGGTATCCACCAGGGCTGGGCAACCCACCTGGCTGCGTTGTGGCGCAATGTGTGGGGGAGGAGTCCGAGAGGGAACAGTGCTACTTGCTCTCTGCCAGTTTTCAGCTGTGTCCCCCGCTTTCCACAAGCAAATTGGGCTCTTCTGCTGCTGGTTCCCGGGTGGGTGGAATTGTGTACATTCTAGGACCCTGTGGGTCTCTGTAAAGAACCTTCTTGTGAGGCTGAGAGTTTCTCCTACTGCTGCCGCAACACCCACATGTGTTTTTAATCAGAGGCTTAATGCTTTATTTACCCACTGGAATCCTGGGTTGCATGGTCTCAATTCCCAGTTGTTTCTCCCGGTTTCTCCCCATGCAAACGTGGGACCACTCCCTCCGCCAGCCACAGCCTTGCTGCACATCCCCTCTGCCCTGGCTGCCTGTCTCCGCCCCTCCTACTGGTCTGGATGAACGTTTCCTCTTTAACTCCTTGGTTGTTGGACTCCCATACAGTTCGATTTTCTGGCAGTGCTGGTTGTTTTTTGTTGTTAAATTTGTGGTTGTCCTTCTTTTGGTTGTGTGAGGAGGCACAGTGTGTCTGCTTACGCCTCCATCTTGGCCAGAAGTCCCCGTTTGGAAGATCTTAATGACAGATTCCGGTCAGCAAGGGCTACTGCGCAGCTGTGGGAGCTGGGATGTTCCAAGGAAGAAGCCCTGAGTTTGGCGGGAGAACCCAAGAGGAGACAGACCCTTTTGGTCCTTGGAGCGAGGTGTTCCTTCAGACAGGCCTTCTCATCTCTTTTCCTGTCTGTGTCCCCACTGTTGGGGTTTGCAGGAAAAGGGACATGTCAAAAGAAAGAAAAATGGCTCCCCAGAGGCTGGAGCAAAGAAAGGGTTAAAGAGAGGTGACTTTGTGAACAAGTGGTGCAGGGGCTCTTTAATTGAAACCCAGTTCAAAGACAGACATGGCACTGACTTGAGCAAGACTGGGGTGGGAGAGCATGGGGCAGGGGTGCAGACTGCAGGTGCCTGAGCCCCCACCCCCTGCACCTGCCTCTAGGAGCTCATGGTGTAATCACAGAACAGCCAGCCCTCGCACTCCCTGGCCAGCGAAGCTTGGCGGTGTGGTCAGGCAAGGTGGGAGAGATGGGCGTAAAACAAAGCCTGGCACTTAATTACAGCAGGGAGATCTCATTACAGAGTCTTCTCACTCCCTTCCTTGGCTGGCAGCTTGAAGAGTGGGTGACAAATTGCCTCAAGCAGGTCTCCGAGGACTGCATATGCAGGGATGTGGCCGCCTCCCCACTGTGGGGGCTGTGGAGAGGGAGGGGTGCTGACGCTCTGATGTGTGGGGCTGCAGTGGGGAAGGGACTCGAAGGGCACCCAGGGAGTGCTGAGAGCTGGGAGCTTCGGTGGCCAGAACTCGATCCTAAACCACACTTGGTGAGAGCAGGCCCAGGGTTCCCTTTTGTCATCGGAAGGTAAGAGCACAGATGGGGAACTTGATACTTGGCACCTATTTCCTGTGCTTGACCCTGCTTCAGAGGTAGACAGGGCAAAACCATCGGGGGCCTTGAGTATCATATCACATAAGCCAGAGCACTGGCTATATGTAGGGAGGGAAGGACCATTCCAGGTGGTGGTCCGGCCTCCCAGGGACTCCCAAAGCCCTCTCCCCTGGGTGGCACCTGGCCCCAGGGACCCATGTCAAACCTGGGATGATGTCTCCCTGACCCTGTCTTTTGACAGGTAAGGTCGTTGGGGATTTGGCAACTTCAACCTGAATGGCCAGGACAGCAGAGGGTCTTCCCATCCTGACCTGTGGCCTTCGAAATGAGTCCCTGTTTGGAAGACAGCACAGTGCACGCATTCACCGATGTGATTCTTGCCACAACTGTATGAACCATTCTTATTCCTGTTTTACCGAGGGGGCAAATGAAGAAGAGAGTGTGTGACTTCTGGTGCCTACACCAGCTTGGTTACCTCGGATGAGCTTTTTAATCCCTCCAAACTTCAGTTTCTTATCTCTGAAATGGAAAGAATAATACCTACCTTATCAGACTGTTGTCAATATTAACAAAATAAATGGCCTGTAATACACATATGAAAAAATGCTCAACGTCACTAATCATCAGGGAAATGCAAATGAAAACCATACCGCAATCTAGTTTCACACTTGATAATAGCCATTATCAAAAAGTCAACAAATAGCAAAAGTTGGTGGGGATGTGGAGAAAGGAACCTATACACTCTTGGTGGGGGGTGGGGTGGGAATTGGTGCAGCCACTAGGGAAAACAGTGTGAGATTTCCTCAAAAAATTAAAAACAGAGCTACCATATGACCCAGCAGCTCTACTACTGGGTATTTAGTATCTGCAAAACGAAAAGAGAAGACAGTTGGAAAACATACGTGCACACCCATGTTCACTGCAGCATTATTTATAACAGCCAAGCTTTGGAAGCAAGTGAGGCGCCCGTCAGTGGCTGAGTGGATAAAGATGTCACACACACACAAGTATTAATATTGTAAAGTGCAGAGCAGAATGGCCCACACAGGGCAAGGGCAAAGTAACTGGCAGAGGGGTTTTTAAAAGGCAACTTAATTGAGGTATAACTGACACACTAAAGTGCAGCTGGCCCCACAAATTACGTAGCTGTAGCCTATGCTACCATCACCGTAGATGAAATCAGTCTTTTCTGCAGTTTTGTCTAAATGGAATCACAAGCCCCCTTGGCCTAATATTGTTGAGGTTCACCGATGTCGTTGTGTGTATCATCGGCCTAATTCCTAACAACCCCCAACGGCAAACCCTCCAAATGTGCCACAGCAGGTACACAGTGTGCGTGGAGAATTAACC